GATGGGGTTCCTTCCGAGGACCAAGGCGGAAGTGAGGTTGGAGAGGGGTCGGGGGCCAGGTCACCGCCCCCAACTCCGACATTCCCTCTGCCCTATTCTCCGAACAGCGCAAGTGCACCTTGAACATCTCCATTTAATATTTACATTCAAGCAGGTAATAACTGGAAGCTTATAGTTTAGACATTTCTAGTAGCAGCAGGTTCTAGAGAGCTCGTTTAGCCTTTTAACAAACTTTTTTTTTTTTTTGCACATAGAAACAACACATCCATGTGTACAGTATCAAAAAATATATACCAAGGTTACTGGTATTGCAGTTCCTGGAGGGGAGGAAATGAAACCAACCGAAATACTGAATGAAGGGGAAGAAAGGTCAACAGAAAATAGTTTGTCATATAGAATATAACATGATCTAGAGGAAACTCCATAAATCTAGGTTTTTATATTTCAATATATAAATACCTACAAATAAATATATATATATCAGCCCGAATGGGGATGGTTGGGCCTTTTGAGTCAAACAATACATGTCAATAATAACCACCACGTACAAACGGGAGTAGAGTCAGCACTTGACAAGTTAGCACGGTTAAAATATAATACTATAACTCTGAGACGCCGTGCGCCCGGCCAGTCCCCGAGGTCCGCAGGGGAGGGCGCGCTCTAGTCGATGGGGCAGTGGGGGCGGACCGCAGGCACCGAGTGGATGGAGTAGACCCCGGCTGGCACCTCCGCTGGGATCCCATGGCCACACCGCGGGGAGGCTGGGCCACCAAGCTGGGCTGTTCTCGCTCGCCCGGCTGCCACAGCTCCTGTGGGGAGAGGGGAGCCCCTCAGGCTTCCGGGGCTCCCCCCCCAGGCGCGTCCCCTTCCGATGCCCCGACTACACCGTCACATACTCCTTGAACGTGACGGTGAGGCAGTTCGCGGTGACATCGGTGATAATTATATTTCCAAAGAAGGGCTTGAACTCACTCAGCGGTTCCGTGGGCTCGTCCTGGGCCTCGGCGGGAGGCTTCTCTGCGGCTGTCACGGGCGC